AGGATCAACCGGTTCCAAGAACTACATGTTGATATTACTCTTCTTTGAATGGAAACATGCAGTAGGCAAGCAATTAACATTTCCTTTAAACTTTAAAATCTAGAAAAAAAACCTTCCACTAAATGTTTAGTAGGAAATTTCCAGATATTCAAAAGAGAGCACTGAAAATAAGGGACTTGTATGTTTGGGATTTTTTCTCCAAGTTTGGATGTTTTAGCAAACATCCATCCTAGTCTATAATCAAAGTTCCCACTGATGTCGTATTCACAGTTTTCAATGAAGTCAGAGGTTTATTTCTGGTTTTTAATTGTGTACGCCCACTAGGAATTTACCTGATCCACTGACAGGATTGCAACACCTGCCCTTGTGAAAGAAGCAGCCTTCATTTACACAAAGTATGAGTAGCTGTTAAACTGTCACTGATTATGCTGTTAACCTGTATTTTCTGTAGCGTTGATATGGCTTCATATTATCAATTTTGCATTTAGTAGTTTAAAACATGCACAAAAAGTTTTGTTTTAAATAGATCACTGAACGCTGTGCCTCCCCCAGTAACCTTGTCCATCTGTTGATTAGCAGCAGTTTGTCTGAAAGGAAACAATTGTGCGTATGACCCAAATCTGCAAAGATCAGGTGTGCAAGTGACTTGTGGAGTGGAGGCAGTGAAATCCAGGCTCCTGTAACGTTAACGGCTAAACTCGTTGGGAGTACTCCTGCTCGTGGGATCGGGGCCTTCGCTGGCCATGAATCATCCCCAGCAGCAGCATGTGATGGGTGTGATTGTCAGGCTGCAGGCTCGGCTTGCTCCAGAAGTGCTGACTAGCACTTGGGGAGTTTAATTTCTATTTAAATGAAAGGGAGTATGATCTTGCCTTAGTATTTGGTATTCCCATGTTTAAGAATATGCTTAGGTCATACACCTCGGGCACCAGCAAGTGTTTGCATTAAGGATGTACTGCAGTGTTTAGCTGAATTAGAGGCATAATCCTTTAAGAGGTCATATCTGTTGTTACCTAAAAGTTCTGAATTGTAGTGAAATACTAAATTACCAACAGGAGGAGGAGCAGGATTGTTGAGCCTTATGCTTTTCACTGTCTCTAAGAGGTTTAGTCACGGCTGTTGTAGACATAGCTGATTCAGCATTCTTGGGGAACAGTTTTCTGGGTACTGAAGGCTTCTGTTCAATGTCTGTTTCATCTTTTGTACTTTGTCTTTCTAAGATCACAGATGCGTCAAGACTTCCAGCCTAGAGGCTGTATTGAAGTTTGAACAAAGTCTTGAAGCAGGATATCTGAATTCAGGCTTAGATGAACTTTTCTAGCATTGTGGAGGTTTTCAGATGTATCAGCATTAAAGCAGAAATGAATTTAACTTGCAGTGCTTTTATAATTTTGATTGGTACATATTCTAGTTACTGAAGTTAAAGTACAGGTTTATACCCATCTTGCCCTTTCCAAAACCATCTCAATATTAATTTTCAGTGTTTTAGTGGAGTCATAATGTTGAATTTGTGATAACAGAAACTAATGTCCATTTAAAGGCTGAGATCAAATACAAATATATGACATCATTGCAGAAGAGAGACATGGGCAGGCTGGAAGGGAATAAGCACTTATTTCATCAAACACAGTAGCCCTAAAATTACAGAAAATGGCCATTAAGTTGGGGTTTTTGCACCAGTTCTGTTCCTGCAGATGTACCCTCCTGCTTTCTTTTCAAAGGAGAGGAAGCTAAGACAAATATGTGAAGTTTTGTTAAAATGCTGACATTACACCAGAAACGTGTCAGCAGAAAGAAGGGATATTAACAGTTTGCCAAAGGGATAGATAAATAAACTGGAGGGGTAGCTATGCTGCTGCTAATCTTACTAGTATCCATAGTTATTTTCAAAAAGGACAGCATTTCTTGTGTTGGAAGAAGCTTGTCATTTAAAGCTGGCCAGATGGACCCAGATTAGGATGATGGTTCCCAAAATGTGTAATGACGCTAACGTGGCAGCTGGGCAGGGGACAGGAATAAAAGGTTTTCATAGAGAGCAGCATGTGCAATGGATCCGGTCCTCTTAAAGGTTTCAAGTGCTCTCAATTTTTCATCAATAAATTATTTTTGCCCTCATGTAGGGCTAGGCGAGAGTCACCATGTAGAACTCTCTTCCCAAATTTATCAGTAGAAGTAGTGCTAGGATGGTCAGAAACAAACAAACAAAAAAAAACAGGCAGAAGGAAGCCTGACTGTCTAGAGCAGAGGAATAGAATTTGTTTTAAGCTTGTGAGAAACTAGATTGTTAGCTGCTTGTGCAGTTATTTTTCTAAAGACAGATGTTTTGTCCAGCCTTGATGTAACTCATCATTTTGAAATGTCTCTTCAGCCTGATTTTTTTTATTTAACCTAATAAAATCTTAACCCTACTAAAGGTTTGATGCAGTAATAAAGCTGTCACGTGCTATCCCCTTTCTGATTATTTCTAGCTGAAGTTCCTGACCCTGACCTGTTTTTCTTTTAATTTGTTTTTAAATCCCGTGTTGTTGTGCTTTCGCCGTGTACAACAGAGCCAGCACAGGTACTGTGAGCTGATGGGGAAGGCAGGAGGATAACCAGAAGCCAGCCTGGAAATAGCACTGGGGATGAAAAATATGGATTTGACTGTGCAAGAGACTGTTCATTCTGTTAAACCTGGACATGAATTGCTGATACTTAGAAAAGATAGTTTGTGTGCTCCTATGCAACTGTAGAGCAGCTAATACTAATTGGCAAAGTTCCTTAAAGCAGCTTTTTCCTTCTTCTTTTCCTCCAAATTTGCTGAGTTCTCTAGTTCTTCATTCTCCAGCTAAAATATTCCTTTGCCCTTCCCCTGCTGCTTAGGTCTCCAGGCTCGGACTCCATGGTGGCAGTATCTTTAGTAAAAATGACATCCTTTTGTCATAGCACGGGTGGAGAAGGAAGCACCTCTCTGTTTGTGAGAGGTTACCCTGATTCTGGTGCTCCATCTCCTGACCAGCCCTTGCCCTCGCACGGTGCCAGGAGGTAGCTCCATGTCTCGTTGGTGCTCTCAGGAACCTGAACCACGCTGGTTCGGCCTGTCCTTGCTGCTTCTTGAGAACAAATGCGAGCTTGAGCTTCCCTGTGCTCGGGTGTTTGGAGACAACCTTGTGCTCGCCCGTAGGCTTTGGAGCACCTTGTGGATTGCAGAGATAGAGCAGGAGGATGGCCGTAGCTTGTGGTGCTGCTCTCCTCGGCTGGGGCTTGCACCTGTCCGTGCTGCGAGAGCACAGTCACCCAGCAGTATCAGGGCACACAGCCGCCCCGGTGCTTTCCTGGAAGCACGCAGCATTGTGTGGCACAGTGCAGGAACAGCTTTCTAAGTGCTTCTCAGGGTCAGCAAATGGTGTGGCGTGCCCTGGCTGCCGTGGATCAAAGCCTTGTGGGGCACTCTGCACAAAGGCAGGGCTTCCCAACGCTCTTGTCTCAGGGGCTTCTGGAGTTTTTCTGTCTTACAGACTGACCACGCTGCGGCAGAGCGAGAAAGGGGACCCAGATGGATTTTTTTTTTTTTTTTTTTTTGGGTTAATGTACCTACTGAAGAGCTCCAACTCTTCCCTAGTTTTGGATTCAACACCCAAATGACATGAGATCTCATTTTGATTTAGGATGTTTGGATGTGAGGGGTAGGCGCTATTCAAAAACCTTCAGAGTAGGTTATCCCTTCATATGTATGGATAAGACAACCATCCGATATGTGGGAATCCTTGTGGTTCCAATCCTTAGGAGACCCTTCAGAAAGGGCATTGGAAACCCAAATTTTCCTCCTTCACGCCTCTCTATCCTAACCACTGGGATGCAACGTTTAAAGGAAGGGAAGGTCCTTTTCTCTTCTTTGAGTGGTACCCAAATTTCATTGTGGTTGTATACTAAAGTGTATTTTTTAAAAGTTTGAATGCTAGGATGCCAACCTTCTTGAATCTTTATCTTTCTGGTCACAAATATTAAATGGATTGACCAGGTTCCTGGATACTGTGTTTGGTTCAAGCTGCATTTTATGGATGTTAATAAACTAACTGCTAAAAAAGCCCAGAGAAACAAACCTATTCCCAGGGAAAATATACTATGAGTACCAGAGCAAGAGAAGGAAGGTTACGTTTCTTCTAAGGAGTGCTGCTTACTGAATAATCTTCCTTTGGAAAAGAAGTCTGAAAATTAAAGTTTTGTTCTGTTGTAATCTGTGAAGGCGAAAGGATTTTTAAGGCAGTAAACTCTTACTGAAATTGATATTTCTACTCTTTAGCTATTTTAGCTATTTTTACTTTTTTATATGGAAAAAATCATTAGCTGTAACTCACTAGCTCTGTTCAAGCAGCTGCAAACCTTTAAAAATTAATAATTTTTAGTCATTAAATGTAAAGTCCAGGTTGTAAGCTGTAGTATTCATTCAGTGCAAAATCTCAGCTGCAGCAGACAGGGAGCTTCCAGGCTAGAGGTTGAGCAAGCACCCCCAGAATTAACCCACTTCTGTCAATTAATTTTGTCATCTTTTAACCTACAAAGTATTCGGTCTTTGTACAAGTGTCATTATGATCTAAATATACCAACCCTCACCCTAAACTGACTTCCTTTCCCATTTTAATACAGAATCCACAACTAGGAGAAATACTAACAGATGTCAGGATTTAATGAGAGCATTCACATAGTGGAAATTACTGTTTTAGGGTTGTAAAATGCAAAAATTCCAATGGTTTCTTCAAAAGCAAAAGGATGAAGGTGCTTAAAGGAACTGGCAGATGTATTGAGATGAAAAATCCAGCGGCTCTTGTTAAAAACTAAAATACCTCCTGAAACATTTGCATTATGTTCCATGAACTAGAGTGGAAATGCAAGAGGAAGCAGAAAAAAAACTCTGCTGCATATGATTGTCCATGGGTTATGCTTGTAAGAATGAAAAATGGAAGTAGATTTTATGCTCTTTGAAACTGCTGAATCACAGTTCCTCCCCTTGGCCTGGGGAGATGGAGATCGGGAGGGATTTGCTCAGGCTGCTGGTGCAGGCACTGCGCTCCGAGGATGCTGCCCGGCAGCAGCTTGCCCAGAGCAATGGTAGGTGTATCTACTGTAACAGCGGCACGAATGAACACCAGCTGTAAAACTGGTGATGGAGGCTTAAATGCCCTTTCTAAGTAGTGGTCTTGTGAGTAGAGTCAGAGAATCTTTTGAGGTGAATTGTTTATTTTGTCCCATTGTATTCAGACATACCGTGGAGTTCCCTCTCTAACGCAAGCGTGGGGAAGCTGGGTGCCAAGAACAGCAAGTGCTAGCAGGAGAAGCAAAGCCAGTTTTCATAGTTGCAAGTTTTTCATTTGGATTTTGCAAGGAACTTTGATATCTCATGTTGTAGTTAGGACTATCCTAACTCATGTATTCCCTCACAAGTCCCGTGGTGGTCCCCAGGCATGCGTTTTTTAAATGTCTTTAGCTTCCAACATTCTGGATGCTATTCTCAAAATATCTGTTTGTTTCTCAACAGACAGAAAGGATACATAAAAAATAAACATGAGTGAACTGGACTGTGGAACATGCTTTACAACTTACAGGACTAGTGATGTTGGTATGTATGCTATCACTTTCAAATTTAGTTGTTTTATCACAATCTAGAATAAAACTACATATTAAGTACTCTGTGCAATTAATAGCTGCGTATGGAAGCTGCTATGGCATTCTGATCACAGAATCACAGGATGGTTTGGGTTGGGAGGGACCATAAAGCCCACTCAGTGCCACCCCCTGCCATGGGCAGGGACACCTCCCACCAGCCCAGGTTGCCCAAAGCCTCATCCAGCCTGGCCTTGAACCCCTCCAGGGATGGGGCATCCACAGCTTCTCTGGGCACCCTGGGCCACTGCCTCACCCCCCGCACAGGAAAACATTTCTTCCTCACATCTCATCTCCATCTCCCTCTTGCAGATTCAACCCGTTCCCCCTCATCCTGTCCCTGCACCCCCTGATCCAGAGCCCCCCCAACTCTCCTGTAGCCCCCTTTCAGCACTGGAAGGTGTTCGAAATTCTTCCCAGAGCCTTCTCCTCTCCAGGCTGAGCACCCCCAAGGCGGAAGAGCATTAGAGGCAGTGGGTTTTAGTAACATGAACATAAGCTCAGAGTAGGGCTCCAGGGTAAACTCGAAGTGACTGTTGTTTGGGCCGTATGGTGATCCCTCAGTGAAACTTCTTCAAGGGGTCACTGTGAGTTGTCTTCCCTGCATGGTGGAAGACCAGCTTGGTTACATCTTTATTGACTTCAAATGCTTTTTCACCAGAACTACTTCCTCTGGTTTTTTGGACATCATTCTTCCAATACTGTCATGGTCTTTCCGATACTGATGGAAGGACTGCAGAAAGCACAGTTATAATCCTTACTGCATGTGGCAGAAACCAAGTGTGGTCTTTTCTCTGCAATTTAGTGTTTTCCCAGGGGCTTACAGAAGTTTAATAGAGAAATCATGCTGTTCTTGTGGCTGGAGATTCAGTGGGAAATGGAAATGCAACTCATTCTGTTTAAATACAATTAGAAGTTCATATACCTTTTAGAAAAAAATTACTGCTAATGCTCAGTCCATAGATTACAAAAAACATTGAGGTAGTTTTCCAGTTTGTGAAATAAGAATGCATATATTGAAACTGAATTATTTCTGTGTTAGAACTTATTAAATTCTAGTAAACCCTGCTTAAAGTGAATTATTCTTTAAATTCACATATAAAAAAACCTTTTAAAATAAACTCTTCGTAAAAGGGCAAATGGTTAATGTTTCTTATATAATTTCTGCTAGTTTATGTCTGTTTCAGATTACTGTTCATTCACTATCAATCTCCTTGTTATGGAAATTTACAATGTTTAAAATACACTGTTTCTAATTTCTATCTGTAATGCTTTCATTTTATGGCTCACACTTAAAATATTTATCTAAAATTTGAAATTAGTGTTTTATGTGATAACTAGAAAATCCAGTTGTTCCTATGAGAAGTGGCCTTTGCAGGCAGAAGTACAAACCTATTGACTACAAACATCTACGTGAACTTGCTGCAGTAGAAAAAATCACATCTTCAAAAATTCAATTAAAGGTATGATTTTTATATTATTTGTAATGTGAATTATTTTAAAATTCAATGATTACATTTCTTTTCACTGCCACAAGCAATCTGAGAACGAATAGGCATAACAAATTGCTCTAACAGTCTTCAGCAAAATGGGACAGAAGGTATAGTCGACCAGAAGTGTTAAACTCGGATTCATTTGAGGGGTGTAAATGTTTCTAGTTTCACAATTTTACGTATTTTGTTTTAAAGTAAGATTTTAGTGTTGCAGGTGGGTGAATGAGAGGCTGTGATTCAAGAAGTGATGGGATTCTTGCTTATCTGTGCACGAGTGCTGTGACGAAGAGTTCTCCCCCTTTCCTCTTTGAGAAGCCCGCTGGTGTCGCTTGCCCAGCTGGTGGGGGAGCGGAGACCGTGCCACTGGGGGCTTTGCTCTCCGTGGTCTCGCGCACGTGAACGTAGAGGCAGTAATTCACCAGACAGGAAGGTTGACTTAAGTGTTTAAACAGAGCAGATTACACTCAGGTGGAAGTAAAGTGTAAAACCAGAATTTTTGACCCAGAATGTTGTTTCTTGCCTGAACTAGGTGTGGAGTGACATCGTTATTCATTTCTCCCTGTTAGGAACTAGGGCAAGAGTTTCAGGATGTTTTTTCTTGTCTTGCTACCATCCTGCAGTAGAATGATGTGTCTGCCTGAAGGAAGGTCTGGGGAGAAAAAGAAAAGGGAGATGTGTGTGAATTGTAGGTGCCTCTGGAATCAGAAGGGTTTACAGTGAGAGGCTGGCTGGGGCAGGGATGGGGTCAGGTGTTACGGAGGAAAGAGGCGGCAGGGTGTCAAAAGAGGAGTGGGAAAGGAGCCAGTTCTGAACTGAAATCCCCCTTTGTCCTGAGTAGCCCCTGAGAGGGCAGAAGACAGTCGTGGTGGCGGGAGGATGAGAAAGCACTGGCTTGTCTCAGGGGCTTCTGGCAGCCACAGATGGCTTCTGATCCTTTTTCCTTCATTGTGGGCTGGCCAGAGTCCTCTGGCTGCCACCTCGTCAAGTCATCCCTCATGGCTTTTCCTCTAGCTTAACCTGAGACTCCAGCTGTCTCAGAAGCACGCAGTTCTGTTTTCTCTGAAGTTGGAAGCAATGTATTTGTGAAGCCCTCAGACACTTTTAAAGCCTCTCTAATTGGACAGATTTTGAAAAAGCACTCTTTTTTTAGTAATCAATTTTTGAAATTCTTTTTCTTGGAAGACACGCTTTCACCCTTTCATCTTTCCACCTGTAGGAAAGTGTATTTTTTCTTTCTCCTGCTCATCTTACCCCCTTCACCTCCTGGGAAATAGGGATGGGGAAGAAAAGAAAAATGGCAAAAAAGAAAATGGACTGCATTTTTTTTCACTTTTTTCTCTCATTTAATTGTGATTTGAAGTAATAATAATTTTTAAATTAAAATTGGTTACATTTGAACCCATTGCTCTTTAGAAAAACACAGTTTGAAAAAAGCTTTTAGGTTCACCATTCTGTAGTTAAAAATTCCATATGAAGGCATTTGATAAAGCTGTTAAATTCAAAATACTTACGAGCTTTAATTTTTCCTGCAGATTAAAAAAACAGAGCAAGTTTCAAAAATTAACAAAGAGCGAATGCTGCTGAAACAGCATCGGCAAGTGTGGTGGCAAGAGCATAAAAGACTGAGTGAGAATAGGTGAGAGCTGAGAAACCTTAATTAGCTGTTATTAAAGAAATACTTCAGCAAACAGAGATTCTGGTGTGGCATACTTGACTCAAGGAACGTTAAGAGCAAAAGATGAAAATACCCGCACTGAAGATAATTTTTTGTGCAGAGCATGAGAGTTTGTGGTGGACATCGCAAGGAGTCTGTGGATGTGAGAACACACAAAGGGAGGGGAGGACAGAGTGGATGTTGTTCTGTGGGTACCTCCAGGATGATCTCATGGCACTTTTGTTGGACTATCAACATCTGAGAGCACGTATTTGTAGGAGTATCAGAAATTTTCAGACACTTTTTAATGCCTTCAAAGTCTGTCTCTCGATGTGCACATTGAGCTCACACGTGTAACAGAGAACATTAATGTTGTTCTTGTCTGTTAGCGAGCGTATTGTACGTACACAGCAGATCAATGAGATTTTTTTGCTCAGAGGAGGGTGGCTTCCATGCCAGCGTCATGTCTAAGTCCTGCACTTCATACCCTCCCAGGCAAAGAATCCCCCTTTTCAATTAATTATTAGAGTATTTGAGGCTTATCATTCTTGAGAACTTAATGAATAAGAAATTAAAGCTTCTGTAAAACTCATATTCATACCTTCCAGGCAGAAAGCAGAAGCAGAAATAAAGACTTTTCTTGATGAAGAAAGCCATAAGCACGACTTTTTTTTGGATATGAGGGACTTGGGTGAGAATTTTTTTGTTTGTTTCTCGGTTATTTATTTAGTCAAAATTATCTTGATTATTTGTTTGAGTTTTTAATTCCCTGTCTTGACAGGTTTAGATTTAGAAATCCCAGAGCTGTGTAATATTTTGTGTGTTTGAGGAAGCTTTATGTTTCATTTGGATATAGAGCATAAATTATCAAAGGAGCGGGATACGTACCAAACAAATGCAGTAGTTCCCATAGGGCAACTCAAGGAGAATTTGAAATTCAAGCTGTCTGAAATGCAGTATAACCTCTCAGAAGAAACTTGTCTGAAATCTAAGATCAGTCCATTTGGGACGTTACAGCAGGTTGGTAATTTAACTTTATTTTTACAATTTATTATAACTGTATTTTTAGCATTTTAATTTCTTTTTATGCAATACTTCGAGAATATAACTTGCATTCAGAGTATCCAGTAACCTCTACTTGCCACAGTGTAAATCTGCTTCACTAAAGCCTGTAAACACGTAGCAGTGTGGAACCTGAGATCAGGCTCTTTGTTTCTAAATCAGAGCTTTTGTCTTATAACAAGGTAAAGAAGTAACAGTAACGTATTTCATGAAATAGATCAGATTTGTGAAGAAGCAACAGAAGGCAATTTTGGAATCCCTTACCCTTGAGAGCCTGGCTTTGGAAAGAGAGCTTGAAGACTATAAAACAAAAGTAAGCTTTTCCTTATAAGTTTGATTAGCAATTTCTTGAGAGAGAAAATACAACACAGAGGAGTCTGCTGAGTTGCATTTTTTTCATCACAGGCATTAGCGCATTCTTTTGAAGAGAAAAATGGACTTTTCCTTGAAGTTCCTTCAGCACTACTGTCTTTGGAATGCCCCTACCCTGATTTGAAGACCTTAGTTATCGATGAATACCGAAAGCTTGCGAGTGGGTACTGGGCTAAGCTTCAAGAAATTGATCAACAGTTAGAAGTTTTATACAGGTAAGGATGTCTGTTTCTGGATATAAAAATAAATAACTACAATGTATTTTGTAATCTGCAGATCCTGCAGTTGCCTTTACCATTGGAGGTGGTTCTATTTTGCGCTGAGCAGAGAACATTTGACGCACTGCCCAGCTCTCTGGGGTGGGATAGTTGGTGTCTGTTTGCACAGCTGAGAGAATCCAGGCAGTCCTTTCAAACGCTCTCATCTGAAATAATGAGCGAAATGTTTTGTGGATTAAGGAACCAACAATCTGGTGTGCATCAAATGCCCTCTTCGCATGCTTTTGTATGAATAGGAATTATTCTTTCTGTATGGTAATTACACTGCCAAATTTACGCCAGCAAAGTACAGTCTTTCTGAGAGAGATCTAGAATGTATTGATCTATAAGGCAGATAAACAGGTCCAATCTTTTCAGAAATTTTGGGTCACTGCAGTAATTCTCATCACAAAGAAATGTAAATAAATGTATGATTCATAATGATCTAGACATTTAATACACCTATATATTGATAGTATGAAGCTTAGCTTTTCTGCTGAGGCTACCTGGAGTCCAGGAGATACTGAGTTGCAGATTTATGATCAACATAATTTTGGTGAATAGTCATAAATCTAAATCTCTTGATCCACACAGTATGTGTGCTACTGAATAAAAGGCAAACATCAGTGTAGACAACAGAATCTATGAAAATCATTGAAAAATCTGCCATGGTATTTTCATTGCTCCTATGCCAGGTTTGAATTTAGGTCCTGAGCTAGCTAGTTTTACAGTGATAATTAAGTATCATCAAGAGTTGAAGATAAAATACCGTATTTGTAAGGGAAAGAAGCTTGGCTGTAGGCATGAAAACACATGCAGTGGTAGTTTGAAGGAGTTATGATACCTAGATAGGAAAAAAGAAAGGGGTGTAGCTGGAAGAAGTCCTGGTGGTAGTGGCAGTGGCAGCAATCTGCTGGTGGGACGTAAGAGTAGGTTGTGTGGGACAGCTTACCCAATCTGGATCAGCGTATGCCAGTATTGTTAGCTGGGAATGTATGAAATCACCAAAGAACGAGCAGCAACTATCTTAGGCATTTTATTTAAAGCTTGGTCTTTTCTCGTTTGCCTTCTGGTCTCCAAATCTTTAATGTATTGCTCATTTATGTCTCTACGATTTTATCCACAACAACATTAAAAAAATGTGTTTTCAATAAAAAAAGCAAGACTTTTTTCTTGTAGGATTGTTTACTTCCAAGGTCTGGGTTTATAAGACACAACACTCTTTGTCGCTTCTTACATTTATGTTGTCTAATTTGCATGAAAATATTTTATGAGTTTGCAAAGACACAGCGTAGATAGAATTTCTGAAGAAGAAAAATCAGAATAAGATAATATTCAGGTCTGCTATGTTTTTGTCTCCTTTTCAGTCCTACTAGAATGCACATTACAGTGTTAATGCATTTAGAAACTGAAGAACAATTTGGTTTTTTTCGAGTATAATAAAGCGTTATAATGTTTTATAATCTGAATTCACTTCTTTTACTGCTGCTGAAACACAAATTTTTGTGTTGGGAAATACCCAAGTCCTGAGTTATCCCACAAACTGTGGACTTGGAACTGATGTGTTCGTTATAGCTGGTGAATCTCTAAGCACTGTTACATTTCTGCCACAATTTCCAAGGATGTCTGAATTATTTAAATAAGTGAAGGATGAACGGAGTATTGCATGTTCAGCGCTGTATCCTCTGCAGCATCCTCTCAAATGAATGGCATGTTAGGACTGAGTCAAGGAAATTTAGTTCCTCTTTTCAGAGCTCTTACCAGGCTGTTTGTGGTACAACAATCGGCAGTGACATAATTAATAGCCAGGGAGGCTGACATCTCACTTGGTGGTATTGTTGCGGTCCGTATGGCTGCAGATTCGACAAGACAGCAGGGCAATGGGTATACATTGCTATTGCAAAGGGTACATGGAGATTATGGGGTGGAGGGGGCAGCTTCCCTTCTGAGTTGTTTATATTCTTTGGAACGTGTAAAGCCAGGGATTAATGCTGGGTAAATCTGTTTCAAAGGAAGCAGCTGCCTCGGGGTTCTTCAATATAAGACAATTGCTGTGTTTCAGTTCTGAAGCAAAACAAAGATCGTACTGTTTTCTAGTAGAATGACACATACAAGAAAAGCTAGGACTGCTTTAACATTTGAGTCATGTAAATGTTTGTCAATAGCTTGACACTGGGGAAGCCTGATATTAGCTTAAATATTAATGTAAAATGTGTTGGCACTTTTCAGACTAATTTTAGATGAGATCTTCCTTGGAATGTTACAAAAGTTTAAGTGAGGTGACATCTTGAATTCAGTCAGGCAGGGTATTTTGAAATTTTCCATGCATTTCATGGTTATGAATACACTGGGCTGGATCATGCTGCTCTTTTGGTTTGGGTTTGTTTTTGGGGGATTTTTTTTTTTTTGGCTATTTGTGTATGAGCAGCTGACAAAATCCCAGCACAGCTGACAAATCTTGGCACAGCTGACAGACCAAGGCATTGGCAGTCAGTTTGTCCCTACTTACAATAAACTACTTGTAGTTCTAGCTACAGCTGATTGCTCCCCAGAGTATCTTCCACAAACCTTATTTTTTCATCTTGTTCCCGAGCAGCGTAGAGATCCATTGTTAGCTGACCAGTAGAGGAATATACAAGTCAGAGTGAACCCTGAGAAATATGTGAGATGCAGGAGGCAGAAACTGATGCAGCGACTGGTGCATCTGCCTTTGTGTGCTGGAGGCAGAGATCACCAGGCTGGCCCTCAGACCACAGAATCAGTGGTTTTCCCTGCTCTCAAGTTCATTTTGTAATGTTTCCTGACCAAGAGGTATCTTACTCTGCCTTATGCTTCTTGTAGACTGAAGACCTGTACTCCTTCCCAAACCCATACAGTCAGAAATATCGAAGGGAGTTTGTTATGAAAGAGAATCTCAGCTCTTAGAACTGTCACATAACTGTCACATTACTGTCACTAAAACAACGCGTTCAAACAGCAGCATACACAAGGGTATCAGGACTCACAGAAGAGCATTACGGATTTCTTTCAGAAATTACAAGTAGTTCACAATCCAACCCATAAACTAGCAAACATTCTCTTAGGATGGCTGGTACTTCCTCTGAGTAGAGGCTAGCAGGGTTTTATGGTTCTTCTGATTAACAAATAAATATTGGGACTGGAAAGATAATGTTAGATGTTACCTTAAGAAAAAAAAAAATTTTTTGTACTCAGTTCAGCATCAGTAGGAGCAGTTTCAGTGAAAGAGATTTAAATCATAGTGAAGAATAATTAATTTGATTGTTAAAGTTATTCTTCAGAAGGCCTATACTTCAGAATATCAAATTATGACACAGATTCTAAAATTAATAAATGAACTGATTTCATAGAAAAGCTCCCTCTAGAGAAAAGGGAGGAGTTTAAAACAGTAATTTCTGAGGATCAGTTGCAAGACACTTTTCTTAGGGGCAGTAAATGTTGCAGAAACAGCACATCTTTCCAACACACCTCTGTGCCAGAGCTCAGGGACTCCTCTCTTTGGAGATCTCGGATGGTCAAGACCTGCAGCCCGAAGGTTATAAGATATTACTGCAGCTGTTCCCTCTTGGAAGGAGTCCTTAGCCCCATTTCACTTTCCAGGGCACTGTCTTCTTTAGACTTAGTGTATGAGAAAAACCTCAGCTCAGAAATCTATATTCATGGCCTGTCGTGGGAAAACTAAGCAATCACCTATAAAGAAACACTTCCATTGCTATTCTGCTTTTGCTAATGTAATTTCACTTTTTATGGTGTCTCCAGCATTTGCTTGGTAGTTGTCAGTCACTGCAAATAAACATTTTACAGGAGCTGGATCATTTCTCTCCTCTGTTTCGAAGCCATCTCCGTTCTTTTCATGATGGCTGGATTTAACAGCGACAGCTGGCTCCTGGAAATAGTTTGTCAGGTATTTCTCACAGTTTATAAGATGAGAAAGGAAAATAGGTGGAAAGTACGAATAAGCTCTAACTCACATAAGCTTGTAGAGAGAAAGCTATCTCCTTCCACAACTTAATTCATCTTACCCTACAGATGAGTCTCCAAGTAGGATTATTGCTATAGTATTCCTGGTCCTAAAACTGTATTCATAGAAGCGGTGGCGAGCTTTTCTGTGTGAGCTTGCACCATTTACTGTGATACATCCCCCCACGGCAAGGGTTTGGTCCTGTTTGGAGCAGGGAAGTCGATGGGCTGTGAACTATGGTGCGACTTGGTGGAATTTCACCTGGCCCGCTCACCACCTCGTAGGGCTGGCTGTGATGGGGCTGGCTGGTGCTCTGCCTGTGAGGAGTTGGGTTGCTGCTCAATTCTGTTTTTATCAGCCACATTCTGTGAATTGTTCTGGAGCTGTCAACAAACGCAGGCTGTGACCCCTTCTCTTCCATGGAAAAGCAAAGACTAAAGAGTCAGTGTGTGCTCTTTGTCCACAGTGGGATACTGCTACCTCTGGACAAGTCAGTCTTTATTTAAAGTTGATTTTCTGTGTGTTGCTTTCATTTTACTTCCATGGATAAACAGGCAAGCTACTCAAAAGCACTACCACAGAGGGCCAGCTAAGAGTTAGTGCTTCGTGTTTTCCTTTCATCCCTGGAAGCTCTCTGTGTACAGGACAGGCGGGGTTACTGCAGGGCTCTCTGTTTTGATGTGTTTGTAGCACTAATGGCCATGATAATGACATTGGAGTTCATTGAGAGAGGTAGAATGGGATTTCTCCTTACCTGCTCATCTTCATTGGGATGCTGTCTGCATAAAAGACAAAAGTAATTTCTAATGTTTATTCAAAGGAAAACAAAATGCAGAAAAAGTACCCATAGAGTGGCAGAAACGAGGTGTTCATTACTAGGGAGCAGTGATTCTAATGTTTCCTCACGTTTGGTTACCATTAAGTTGTCACCATTCTGATCCTGGAATCATGACTCTGTGATGAAAATGTTATAGTAAAGTAAGAATCATTTTTGTTTCATGAAAGCCAGAGGATGAAGAATTGAAGCAGGGAGGAAAGAACCTCTGATCGCTTGCTGTCTCCAGAAAGATGGGTAAAGGTTACATCTCTCTTAAGACCATAAGGGTAAAAATAAAGCCCTCTAGTCTGCCTGAAGAAAACTGTAAAATAAATGCCTTCAGGTAGGTGAAGATAAGTGGAACTCTGTCCAAATGTGTGCCGACTTCACAGCAAAGCATGCAACAGCAGAAAGTGCCAGTAGAGAGGAAAAAGGTGACTGACGTGTGTTATCAAGAGATTGGGTTCCCTCGCCTGACAGGACTTCAAAAACAGCTTGTTGAAACAGGATACTGTGTCCTTGCATTCTTGAGATATGTCTGGAGGTGAAGCTTTCCATTTCTTAAAACTAACAGGTCTAGGGCTATTTTCTTGTTTCCTCCTTTGGTGTCCCAGAATGTTGTTCAATGGTGACAATACACTGTGGTTTTACTGTACAATGTATTTTTAAGGACAAGTTGTGTTAAACTGGATTACATAGAATTTTTTTTAATACTTGTGTTCACTGTTCTCTCTTCAGAGATAATGCTGGATTGGATCATAAAATCTAGTTTAATATTAATTACATATGAGCATCTCACAAAAAGAAAATCCTCTTTTTTAAATACCTGGTATTTCTGCCTGCATAAGGATGAAGTTGTTCTAACATCTTACTGAATGCAGTGCTATTAAATACCACGATACTGCTGCTGGCTCAGGAGTCTGAGAGCTGCAGACAGTTGGAGACTGCAGGAATTCGTGGGGGGTAGAGTCACCCAATTGCCTTCTTTTAGTTTTCCCTACGCTTTTAGTCACTTTTGAAAACACGTCACTGGGATAGAGAGACCTTTTGATCTGACTTAGTGGTGCTGCTGGTCCATTAATGCTGACAATAAAAGCCTGACGTTAATCCTTTCAAGGCCAAGAGTTCAGATTGAGGGTAAAATCTAATCTGATTAATCCAAACCTGTGGTACTCTGTTTTAATTTTATGTTACTTCTTGCTACTCGAATTTTATGAAATGCATTAATACATACTGATTGCTACATCTCCTACTTTAAAAAATTGTGACTCTTGTGCCTTGCTGATGAGTTCATGGCTGTCGGAAGTTTTTTTTATAACTAGTTCCTCATTTAGCGACGTTCAGGTATTGTGACTTCATTTCATTTTCATCATTTATTCAATGCTTAGTGGTACAGACTGATCATCTTCCTCCTTTTTCACATTGTATTTTCCGTGTGGTGTGACTATTCATTAATGTGCCGTATTTGAGAAACACAGCATCATTCCCCAATAAACAGCCAGCTTAAAAGAAGAACAGTTCACTTGAATGATGGCACAGTAAATGGTCATGTTAGAAAAGCAATCTAGGTTTGCTTTGTTTCATTAAAGTAAATCTAAATTTCCCATCTCTGCTCCAACATCCAGTTTACAGGTTCAGGATTGAAAGCCCCCTGAAAGGTTATGCCTTTAAAAATAACCTAGAACCAAACTCCTCCTTTTCAAATGTTAGGTTATACTGGGGCTGATTGTTTTGTGTTTCTGTAGGAACACTGAATGGAAGGAAGAAGATCAGTGGGTTTTTCAGAACATTATCAATCAGTATCCGAGTGATCTTCAGAGGAGAAGGACTTTGTACCTCGATGTGCTGCAGAGATACCTTCCTCACAAATCTAGGCAGGATCTGGTCAGTGTTGTTTTAAATATTAGATCAATTATATAAATTCTTGCCTAAATCGT